AATTATTTATCTCCCTATTGAAGAAAAATTTATTAATGAAATTCTCTGCCAAAAACAAACCTCCTATTAAAAAAAAATTCTCTAATGAAATCATCCGCCAAATAATATTTTCACCTATTAAAAAAATTCCAAAAGAAATTCTTTATCAAGAAAGCTCCCTCCTATCAAAAAAAAAAAATTCTTAACGAAATTTTCTATCAAAAAATTATCCCTTGTTAAAAAAATTTCTAATGAAATTATCTATCTCCAATGAATTTTATATAAAAAATTATCATCAAAAAAAAAACTCCCCTCTATTAAAAAAAATTCTTTAACGAAATTCTCTATCAAAAAAAAATCTCTCCTGTTAAAAAAAAATTTTCCAACAAATTATCTGTTAAAAAAAAAATCTTCTAATTCAAAATAATTCTCTAACAAAATTTTTATCAAAAAAAAAATTCCAAAGAAATTCTATCAAAAAATGCCTTTACTTATATTAAAAAAAAATTCTCTACAAAAAATTTTATTTTACAAATAAAAAAAAAAATTCTCCGCGTAAAATTTAAAAATTTTTAAATTTAAAAACTAGGCGTAACCCGTCGCGTTGCGCCGGGATGATACTTGCCCATGCAGCTCTTGCAGAGCACCTCTTACACAATTAGCCCACTGCTGTGGCGTTTCATGAGGTCTAATAATAATAGATAAATAATCATATTGCTTTTCTACCTATCTATAATTAAAAAAAATTGTGTTTGTGTGACCAACGTTTAGATTAGCCTATATAAATAATCTTTGAATTATCCAATGTGTTATTCATCTGCGCCTCTACACCTGATCTATTACGTTTTCTTATAGACATACAATATTAATTACTAATATTGTGTTTGCGCCTGAGTAGTTAAGACTTAAGACCACTTGATCGGCAAATTCATTCTAATTACTAATGTGCAGGAAAAGGAAAGTATAATTCTGGCCGGAATTATACTTTTCAATTTTCTCCCAAAATTAAAATGACCCCCCACGTTAAGCAAAGATCTAAATTTGATAAACGTGTGATCAAAAATGATGATCAATCAATTTATACAACCCGATGCAAAGCAACGGGCTACTGCTAGTTTTATTTATTTTTACAATAGTTATAATATTTAGATTGCGCAAATCTGTTAATAACATAGTCCAAATCATACCCAGGACGGAGATTGACGGGATTAAGCATGATTTATTAAAAACCTTGAGAGTCATACTCTATAAAAAAATTAAAAAAGAACATTAATGTATGTTCTTAACGAAAAAAAAGCAAATTTTTTACTAGAAAAAATACTAAAACTCAACCTTTCAAAAAAGTTCCTAAATTTGTTCTCCGAATACACAAAAAATTAAATAAAAGATAATAATAAAAAAATTTTTTAAAAAATATATAAAAAATAAAATTCAATATACATAACTAAATTGAATAAATTTAGACAAGGTATCTTGAATGAAGAAACATGATCTATCCAATCAACAAAAATTAATGAATATACAACCCTGAGGTAGGTAGTGGAGGTAATTAAAAAGAAGAAAGAGGCCGTCAGAAGATAAGAATGAAAAAGTAGAAAGGAAGTTGAGGTGAGGAAAATTAGGATGGTTAGAGAGTGGTTAGTGGAATTGAATGTGATGGAAAAAAGTAATAATAATAAAATACCAACACGAGAAGAGTTCCAAGAATAAAATCAAGCTGTTTACAAGACTTCCATAAAAGAAGGAAAAGGAAGACAAAAATGTGTAAAATAAGCATGCTGGGTTAGATAAAAAAAATAAATCATATATATAATTATAGAAATAGAAATTGATAAAGTAGTTTAGGGCATATTTACAGATTTACAGATAGTAGGTAATTATCAAAATGTCGAAACTCGCCAACTCTATTTGGATAATCCCAATGTTGAAGTCCGAAGCAAAAAGAAACGTCAGAGAATGTAGCAGAGAAAAAGAAGACCTGGAAATGTATCTTTCTCTCAAGAAATGTGAGTGAATTTGGCCTTAGAACTATCAAACATCGAACGAGAGTTGGAATTGGGAATATAATATATTTTTTATATATATAAAATTTTTTTTTCGTATTTTTTAGTTAGAAATATATAAAAAAATTTTCTTTTTTGTATTTTCTTTATTAATCAAGATGAAGAAAATAATAACTGAATGATTTTTTTTATGAGAATCAAAGAATTTAGTCTAATTAAAATTATATTATTAACAAGATAATGTGCACACGTTCTATATTAAAGAATTTGTTTTTAATTTTTTACAATAACCTCTTGTTAATTCCATAAAATTTATTATATATATTTGCATGATATATAATAAAATACATAATTCTCATGATATATAATAAAATACATAATTCTCATAATAATTAATGAAAAATTTTTATTGTAACTTACTTGATGCATCAATATTCTTTTTATATAACATAAAAGTAAGAACTTCAATTAGCCCAAACAGCCGCTTTAATAAGGTTAAGCTGTTTCAAGAAAAAGAACTTAAACGTACTAGCGTTAATATTATTTAACATATAATTTCATAATATTGCTATACTGATTTAATGCTTACATAATTAAAATACTTATATATATACTAGAAATTCCAAAACATAAATGAAGACAAACTAAAACTTATACATAAAATGGATAAAATATATAAATTAATTAAATGAATATTGAGCTATTCGCCTATTCCTCGAAGAAAGTCCAATAATGGTCTTCTTTATTAGAGAATTTTGTCATCTCACTTTATTTATGAGTGGTAAAAAACGATTCAAACAATAAATAAAAAAAATTAACATTTTATTATATTCAAATTACATAACATTTCTTTTATGTGCGTATTTAATTGTGACTATGTTATTTTCACAATAAAAACTACTAAATATTAAATTAATAATTGTGGCTATGTTATCGATTATCAAATTACAGTGTAATTAATACCTATGCCCGTGATAAGTCACGTTGCCACCATAGATATTGACAAAATAATACTTTATTAATAATATAAATAAATATAATAATATGCTTTGTTTAATAATATTAAATAATAATTAAATATTTGTCCTAAAATTTCAAAATGCGATAGTTTCTCCATATTAGTAACTTTTAATACCATTAAAGTATTTGATGTGGCACTTTTTCGTCATAAGAAAAAGGCAAAAAGAATCGAATTATTACTTCTAAAGGTAAAATATAATAACTAACTTTTCCCAAATTCATGACCTCCTTTTACTTGGTCAAATTAGCTGGTTATTTAAAAGAATTTAGTGCCTTATTCTCATTCGTTCCTTAATTACAACTTATGATCCTCTATTTGACATCATAACAAAAAGATAATCCTTTAGATTAACGTCATGATCTACAAATTAATCACCTGATATCCTGATAATATATTAGTTCAACGTCATCTCGGACGTTAATCCTTTCTAATTCTAGTTCATCATAGTTTAATGTCATTGCAGACCAATTAAAATACAAATTTAAACTACTAAAAAATTATATACTAATTTTAAATATAAAACTGCGCCCCCACAATTAATAAATTCACTAGGTAAGCTACGGCATTACAACAGTAAAAAATTAAAATTCGGTGAAATGATTTTCGGTGAGATGATTTTCGGTGAAATAGCCCTGTCGGCGAAATAGCCCTGTCAGTGAAATAGCCCTGTCGGTGAAATGAAGGGGTCGGTAAGTTGATTGTTGGGGAAATGATTTTCAGTGAAATAATATATTTAACTTATTTAACAATTCATTCGTAGTACTAAATTTACCATTTTTTTCAATGATTTATTTAAAAAAATAGATAAATAAATAAAATTCTATGGAGTAATTCATTCATCGGAATGGTAACTCATTTGATATGCAAAAACCAATTTCCGATTAAATAAAAAAATTACTTATCGTTATTGTTTTTACTAATGTTACATAAATCGTAATACGTATTCAAAAAAGTAAATAAAATTGTCTATTGTGACGGGACTAAAACAAATTTTGTTAGTTCAATACGGAAAATAGTTCTTTCGTTAACTCTTCGGACAATTAAAATATTTTTATTAAAATGTAAAGATTTTTAAAGTATTTCGCAAAAAATTAATGTTTATTAATATACTTAATAATACTTTATATATATTTTTTTTAATTAAATAACATTAATAATAATTCATTAAATATTTAAATATTGTAATTTTTTTTTGCTTTATATTAAATAAAAATATAATTTTTTTCATACAAAAGTATATTTTTTCCTTTTATTTTTAATATACTTATTAACCATTCCTATCAGCGAAATGAACTCACTATCGGTAAGTTGAACTGTCGATGAAATAATTATCGGTGAAATAGACTGAACCCTATAACAATCAATTGAATAAAATGAAGATAAACATGATGCTACTATATTGTTATCTAGTCAATTAACGTAATTTTATGGAAAGAGATAGTTTAGGCTTCCATATTTTTTCATCGGAATTTGATCTGCAGAATCAATTTCCGAAGAATTAATTTTTCGAATGAAAATCAATTTCCAATTCAGCATTTTGTAAGTTATTATAATAGTAGATCGGCAAATTCTATAATTTTGTCTCGCAGATCAAAATTTATTAATGAAAGAATGAAGGAAATAAAGGAAATGATTTTGTACATCATAGCTTAATAAAATGTATAAAATATGATCTATCCTGATGGCTGATACTATTCTGACAACGATAAAGTTATCCATCTTTTTACAAAAAAAAACAACTTAAAGCACTTTTATATTCACATTTATTTTCCCCTTGTTTTTTTTGCATCAATAATGAGAATATTGTTTGCTCAATCGTGTAAATTACACACTTTCTTATTATACACTTTCTTTTTGGTTGCAATAGCAACCATAATTATAGGAGTGCCTCTAGAGAATGCGCTTACTACTAAGCGAGCGAGATACAATTGACATTACCCGTATGTCTCACCGGTTACGTATATACAGCCTCCCTTTGCGACGAAATTGACAGATTAATGGTATTTTGTGAAAATTCTCAAAACCCAGATGATGACATAGTAGTATATAATGATTGTGGACCAGATGAAACTTGTATTGAACATTATCACGCCGTCAAATCTGATCTAGACGTTATGCATGCAACGTGTATTGATAATGAAATCGGGTCAGAAAATGGAATAATTTTAATGATCCCACTAAAAAAACTTGTTCACCGGAAAGGGGCTATGACACTGAATCAACTGATATGGAGATTGAAGTAACGATATATGAAAATGATGGAAAACCGATACAAGTAAATGTAATTGTTGTGTATAAGAATGGTGTAGAAATTTCTACGGTCTATGATCAGCACAATTACACCAGTGTGATCCGAAACTATAGTGATGAAAAAATTAAATACTGCTTCACTACAGGAACAAATAACAAGGTAACAGCTTATGCTGCTGGTTGAGATATAGAAAATAAAACTTTTCTGTTAGACTCTAAAAGTTAAAAATAATTATTTCTTTTTAATGATTTTTTTGTTACAAATACAAAAAAAATATAGAAATAGAAATATTTATATATACACAAAAAAAGACCAGAAAAAGTTTATTTAGAGCGAAATGATTAATGGATAGAATATCATTTATTAAATTCTTATTTATTAATTAAATTCAATATTTAAATAAAATTTACCTAAAATTAATTTTAGAAATATTTTTATCATTAAAAATTGAATTTTAAAATAATATTATTAGTAATTGCTAACCTTACTAATATTTAAGGTTTTATTTAACAAATTAACGGAACCATACTAAAAAAAGAAAATTTATTTATTATTAGACTAATTCATTAAATATGTTATTATAAAATTAATAAACGGACAGGTTAAATTATTTTGCATAATTATTTAATACATGACTTGCTGCTTCGCATCTCGATGAACTTAAACCACATTGGTAATTGTGCATACAAATAATATTCTTTTTTTATTGGCGTAAATAATTACATCATTCTTCTAGTATATAATTTTTTCATAATAATTTAATGAAGGCTTAAATTCATGCTTTTACATTTTCACCCAGCCAAATGATCGATATAAGTGGGCGTGCACTACATCCTACTGCCCATGGGTCTTTGGTAATGTTCTATTATATGAAATTATGGTTATTTAAAAAAACTATTGTATATGAATAGCCAAATAAAAAAAAAAGCCTACAGAATTGCATTTTTGTGAAACAAATTTAATGGTTTATTCCCTCCCTCATGAAGGGTAAGATTTGTTTAGATTTCTGTAACAAAATCAATGTATTTATTTGCGTAACCTTTGAATTAGTCTAATCATCATATGATATAATAAATTATTAACGTACAATATTTTTATTTAATAGAACGATGAATTTAGATTATTGTGTACTTCTAAAATAGTTCTACATATATTTTTAATTTAATTTTAAAATATACTTTTTTTTATAATGATTGTTAAAAATGAAAATTTCTCATACTGGTATTAATAAAAACCTGCACCAAATCATAAAAATATTAATAGAAATAAAAAGTTATGAATATGAAATGTGAAAAATATGAATTGAAAAAAAATCATTATAAATCTTATCTGACGTAAGGAGTTAATTCATTAAAATTGAACTTACTTTTTATCTCATGATCATAATAGGATATCATAATTATCAGTAGTAAGATATTTAAGATATTTGAGATAGTTGAGATTATAAATTGTATTATTTACTTTATATAGCAATCTTGCCATTGATAAAAATTTAAATTTTACAGGAAATTAAATAACAGATATTTTGTGAAAATGAATTTTATTATAAGATGGTTAGAAGAATAAAATATTGCTTTAAGCTTTAATGGTAACTAATACTTAATAGCAAAGATGGTGCATCAATACTGCAATAGGATGTGGGAGTGATTGTTATAACTTCATTAAGAGAAAATTGATAAATTTTAATATTACTCTAAAAGGATATGCTTTACATTGGAAAAATAATATTATATACTATATGTGCATCATCTGATGTCATCGAATTTTTGAAATAATAGAAATTTGGCTTAAAAAGAAGTCACAAATTAAATATATATTCAGAAAAGTTACTAATGTATTTAATAATAATATTTTACAAGAAATAGAAAAAAGTATAGAGTGTAATGAACTAGATAAATTTAAAACATTACGCACAATTAATTGTTCATTTGTTAGTTTTTTACATGAACGTCCAAAGTTTTAATTATGGTACAAGATAAAAAAGTAAGAGATATTACAAGAGGTTTAATTAATAGGAATTTGGAGAAATTAGTTAAGACTAAAGAAGAATGGAAATTATTAGATAACAGTTTAAAAGAACATTTTTGAATTAAAAGATGTAAAAAAGTTATTCAAGTTTGAAAAAGTCAAAGAATTAAGAATTAACACTCACTAAAGACAAAATGATGACACAGAAAAAAATAAGCTCTAAAGATATATTTGATAATAAGAAATATAGTATTAATGAGTAATAATAAAACATAAAATACACAATAATGGTAAAATAGATTACAGACAGAATAGTTAGTAATACATTTTAATAATATAGTTTTTGTTATTTATGACTAGAATATATTTCTGCAAATGTATGTTTTGTATTACAACATAAATAATAAAGAAATGTATATTACAAAATAAAATTAGTTAAAATGTTAACAATCAGACTTTGAAACTATTTTTTGATTACAATAATTTAAAATTATTTTTCAAAAAATATTCTCATTATTTCTTTTATTTTTAGTAAAATGATTGAAAATTTTACATAACTTTAATAAATATAGGAATTAAAATAATAATACTTATAATAAGATTTTGTAATTTTTATTTACCGTAAATTAATAAATTTAATTATACGCTACCTGGACAAATGTAGCAGACACCCTTATTTATACATAAAAGTAATACCTGAAAATTTATTCTTTATTAGCTAACTTATATAGCTATATTATGAAAAAATTGGAAATTAAAATTGCAAAAAAATTTATATTATTTTCACATTTACTTAAAATTGTACATATTAAAAGTGTTTAAATTTTATAACATTTAAAGCTAATATTAAACTTCATTTTCCTATGTTATACACTTTATATTATATTTTGTATAAAAAACAACTCGGATTTTTTTTCATAATAAAATAATGATAATTTTCCAATTATTAAATTACTAATATAATTTTTATTACAACTTTCGGTCCAGATGGTCAATATCAGAGATCACAAAAATAATAAATTATTGTATTACAAAAATAAATATCTATTTATAAAAAGATATTTATAAAAATGTACACTTAGTGCTTGTAATTATAGCTTATTTATATATAAATTTTAAAATAATTTTATGGATAAATCTGCTGGAGCTCAAATTGCATATTGTGTTACAATTGTAGACAGATGCCGTGATACTTTAATCCAATCAGTTTAGACGCGGTGTGACAAAGGACCAATTTTTCACACTAACATAATATCCTTCAATTCACTCCGGTCTGAAATTTAAAGTAATTTGCCATGAGTAGTAAAAATATCTTTCGTGGTTCAACTTTTATTCTTCAACGCAAAATCGTTTATTATAATAATAACTGAGATATTGACTAACAACAATATAAGAAAATTTTTTATTTAATTATAAGCTTTTTGAAAATCTTAATTTAAAATTTAGCATTATTAAATAAGAACTCTTTCCGCCGATCATCATGTCCACAAATTTTAGGACGAATCAAAAGGTGGAAAAATCCACAAAGTCATTAGGAAAAGTTTTCTTGAAACCAGACCCATAATACCAACTTATTTTTACTCTACTTTCTGTTTGAGACTTTTTTTCGTAAACTGTTGGTTAGAAGAAAAGTATTTTATGTCTTTTGCTGCTCATCACCAACGGCACAATAAAGGCGTTTCGAACCTTGCAAAGCATAAGGACTCGTAATACCACAAGAAGTCGACGGAGAAACAGAAAGTTTGAACGAGTGCTGACAACCTTTTGTCTTTTTGGCTCTTTGCGAACTTGGACTTGGACTGTCTGGTTTCTAGCAAATTTTGTTCCACAACCCTATAAAAAAAGAAAATTCGGAATCTGTCCTGAAAAGTATGGAAAATGTCCGGAAAATTTCCGTGCGTCCGGAAAACATTCGGAAACGGTCATGTTTTGGAACATTTTCCGGACGCTCAATTCTGGACAAATTCTGGACAAATTCTGGAGTGTCAAGAAAATGTCTGGAATTTGTGCGTCCGGAAAGTGTTCCAAAACGTGACCGTTTCTGAATTTTTTCCGGACGCACGGAAATTTTCCGGACATTTTCCATACTTTTCAGGACAGATTCCGAATCTTCTTTTTTTATAGGGCAAATTGATCGCACAAAAGATGACGTCATCGGATTTTTTTTCCAGCCATCCATCCCACTTGGAAGAGGTTGGCCAATGAAGGCTCTCGTTGTATTAATCATGGTATCCCTTCGGCGGGATCTATTGTGACTAAACCATGGAGGTTTGGATTCAGTTGGGATGAATGTTACTAGTTACAAGTTTTCGTTATATGTTTTTTTTTTCGATAAGTGGCACTAGTTATAGATATTTTTTTTTTAATTTAGCTTTAGATTTTTGTTTTTTTGTTTTGTTATTTTTTGGATGGCTTGGTCTGGTGCGTTTATTTATTTTAGGATAGACTGGTTAGTTATAGGGTTATTGTTAATTTAGTTAACTTTACCTCTATGTATTTTTTGCTCTACGTTACACATAAAAAATGAAATACGCTGCTAACTTTTTTTTTTAAAAAAAAAAATATGCGAAATGAAACTAGGCCAAGCAAAAATTGATCAATGAAGCCACACATGACATCAGATTGGCAACATGCATAGTTATTTTTTTCAATTATGCACTCAGATACTGTATGTCTTAGCCCAATGCCCAAATTGAGGACCCATAATAACGTGTATATCCTTCCTTTTTTGAATAATGCCAGGCGGCATTATGAAATCCTGGCCCTGAATCATAGAGCTAATAATAAATGAGTGCCGATCTCTTGTGACCTATTTATATCTCATGTATCTATGCATCAATTGCATCATGCATGCATTAACGGCTTGAAATAAAATACCCCAGAATTCATAACTCCGAAAAAAGTTTTTTCAAATAAATAAATACAATTCCACTATTATAACTTAAATGACAAAATGACTTCGGTAAAAGAATGGATTGAAGAAAAGATAAAGAATGGGAATATCTGTTATTTTGAATATTATAAATTTAGCCAAATCATCGAAATTGGTAAAGGACGTTTCGGTAAAGTGAGTAAAGCAAATTTGGCTAATAAAGTAGTCGCACTAAAAATTCTTATCAGTAATAATTCAGAAGAGGAATTTAATGATGTTAATGATGAGTTTGTCAAGGAGGTAGGTACTCTTTTTATGTTGTACAAATAATAGTTTGATACATTCAGTATATATGTAAATAAATGATTTTGTTTTACCTTTATTATCAGTTAAACCTTCTTCGCGAAGTTGATCACCAAAACATCATACATATTCTGGGAATAACAAAAGGTATTTTATGTTCATTTTTTCTTAATACAATATTCGATCTAACTATTATTATTTTAAATTAATAGATATTGAGAATTATATTTTGGTATTGGAATATGCTAATGAAGGAAATTTAAAAGAATACTTGGAAAAAAAATTTACTTCCTTGACATGGAATAATAAAATTCAAATGGCATTAGATATTACTAGCGGATTGAAATTTTTACATTCCAAAGAAATAATCCATAGAGACTTGGTAAAGGAGCATTGATTTTATAGATTTATGGTATTTTGTTTGTGATTTTGTCTTTGATGATAACTAATGAATACTGTCAATTATTTTATAGCACTCAAAAAATATATTAGTGAATAATGGAAAATTATTAATTGCAGACTTTGGATTATCTAAAAAGTTGTCAGAAGTTAAGACTAATTCGATAGCTAACGAAATGGGGGTATTTGCATATTGTGAACCACAATGTTTTAAGAATGTCATATATAAAAAAGATGAAAAGTCCGATATTTATAGTTTAGGTGTTCTATTATGGGAAATTTCAAGTGGAAGTCCTCCTTTTTCTGGCTGTAAACAAGATATACTTTACTATCACATTAAAGATGATCAAAGAGAAAAGCCAATTAAGGGTACACCTCCAAAATATCAACAACTTTATCAAGAATGTTGGAATAGTAAGCCAAAATCGAGACCCAATATTGAAAAAGTATATGAAATTTTAAGTAAACTAAGTAAACTAAATATTGATCTACATCCTAATACTGTACCTGATATTGATGTCGATGATACTATACCTAATACTGATGTCGATGATAATGACGACTTAGATATTCCTTCTGATCACCCAAATCTGAATTTATTAAGAAAATTTTATCAGGATGGCGAACCAAAATCGAGTCCCGATATTGAACAAGTATATGAAATTTCAAATGCAGGTATAAAATAATTTGATCTAATTTAAGCAATGAATTTTAACGAAAACTGATAATATATTATTCTAATATAGCAGATAAGCCCAAATTGGAAAAAAATATCTATACAGATTGGTTAGAAAATTCAATTGCCGAAGAATCTATTACATATTATAAATATTCAGAATTTAAAATAATACGAAATATAGGAAAAGGTTCATTTGGGAGCGTCGATTATGCTGTTTGGAAAAATACTGATCAAGTTTTTGCATTAAAATGTTTCAATGATAAGACAACTCTAAAAGAAATTGTTAATGAAGTATTGAATTTATAATAATTTTATGTTTTTATTTTTAATTTTTATTAATTTAATTCTTTTACAGATAGAATTACAAAAAAGAGTGGATTTTCATGAAAATATTTTACGATTTCATGGAATCACAAAAATAGAAAAAAATAGTATGTCTTTTATATGTATTGTATATATTATTAATTGAGATTTTTTTTAATGGAGTTAACTTTTGTTTAATACATATTTAGATATAAATCAAGAATATGCATTGGTTTTGAAATATGCTGATAGTGATACACTAAATACTTATTTACAGCGTAATTTTGATAAACTTGGATGGGATGATAAATACCAGTTTGCATTGCAACTGGCAAGTGCGGTAGCGTGTATACATGAATGTGAAATTATTCATCGTGATTTGGTAATAATTTAAAATTTTCTTATTTTATTGATTTTAACTGATTAGTATTAAACTTTTCTCATTTAATTAAAATAGCATGCTAGCAATGTATTTGTACACCAGAAAAAGTTAAAACTGGCAGATTTTGGATTATCAAGAAATATTGTTGCATCAAGCAATCTAAAAATATTTGGTTCGTTACCTTACATTGATCAAAAAAGGTTAAAAGGCCAGCAAAATTATAAATTAAATAAAAAGTCTGATGTATATAGCGTTGGTGTTCTAATGTGGCAAATTTCAAGTGGATTTCAACCATATAGAAATGATAATTATGACATAGGATTAGCCGTATCAATAGTAAAGGGAAGAAGAGAAGAAATTATTGAAGGAACACCTGCCAAATATAGTAAATTATATACAGGTAATAAATAATTCTATTTATTTAATTATTGTTTAATTAATGCTAAGATTAAATCTTATTGATTTGTTTATTAGAATGTTGGAAATATGAACCAAATAAACGTCCAAATATGCAAGATGTTGTTTCAATTCTTAAAGTAAGCAATACATTTAAAATTTTAAATAGACATAATGTACGCTTTCAGTTGTTTTTTCCTATTTTTTAACAACTCTTATATTTTAGAATGAAAAATCGCAACAAAAAGACCAACGATGGTTTGATGAAACATATTCAAAAGGAAAATTTATAGATATTATTGGTAACAAACGCTTCAATTTTAATAGTTATTTAGAACTAAAAGGCTTTAAATATTTAGAAAGTATTGATTTGAAGAGTCTTAAATTAATTAATTTGGAAATAAGTAATTGTCCTCAACTTAATATTACCAACTTGTCTGAACTTAGCAAACTTACAAGTTTATCAGTGAATGATTGTCCAAAACTGACCACGCTTAATTGTTCGTTGATTAATAAGTCAACTAGCTTAAAAATAAGTAGTTTTCTTCAGCTCAATAATATTACTAACTTATACAAGTCTTCTAAACTTGATAGTTTATTCGTGATTGATTGTCCAAAACTTACTACGCTTGATTATTCAGCAAATGAGTTAACTAGTTTAACTATTTTTGGTTGTCCAAACATAACAAAGCTTGATTGTTCATCAACTGAGAAGTTAATTAGTTTGAAAATATGTGGTTGTACTAAACTTAATAATATTTCCAACTTGTTTAAGTCATCTAAACTTGAGAATTTATCCGTGATTGATTGTCCAAAACTTACTACGATTGATTATTCAACAAATGCGCTAACTAGTTTGGAATTAAGTAGTTGTAGACAACTTAATGAGATTACTAACTTGTCTAATGCTCCTAAACTTACGAGTTTAACTATGATTGATTGTTACAATATAACCAAGCTTGATTGTTCATCAGCTGAGAAGTTAACTGAGTTAGAAGTCAGCGATCTTACTAAACTCAATTGTTCGAATACTTCAATTAAGATATTAAGTGTTAATTTTTGCCCGAATATCATAGAACTTAATTGTTCCAACATTAAAGAATTAGTTAATTTAGATATAAGCAACTGTTCCAAGTTGAAATTTCTTGATTGTTCTAATAGTAATTTAACTGGTCTTGACGTAAGCAACTGTAAAACTCTGTTGGAAGGATTTCATCAAAATGGCACTGAGTCTTGGAGGTTTAAATATCCTCCTAACTTGAATATTGTTAAGAAGAGAATTAATAAGAATGTAATAATAATTGGCCATACTGGTGGTGGTAAATCCACATTATGCAATGTACTGACTGATTCTGATGAGTTTGATGAAAGCGGAAATTCATTTAGCGTCACTAATAGTTTCCAGAAAAAAAACTTTCAATGGATGGGGAAATGTTTTAATGTGGTTGATACCATTGGAGTTGGGGATACTAAACTATCTACAAGGAGAGTTTTATATAAAATATTAGATGGAATTTTTTCTATACCAGAAGGGATAAGCCAAATTTTATTTGTGGTTGATGGAAGATTCACAGCGGAAGAAGTAAAAATATTTAACTTGCTTAAGGGTTCCATTTTCGACATTTTTAAAACTCACATTCTTTATTATGTTACTATTGTGAGAACTAAATTTCGTTATTTTAATGATAAAGACAGGTGTGATGCAGATAAGGAACAATTGCATAATGAGAATGACATTATTGCCGAAATAGTTAAATCATGTAGAGATGTTATTTATGTAGACAATCCTCCGATATATATTGAAATTGTTGATGAGGAAGATGTTGAAACGGTTGTAACTAATGAAAGAATAAGAAGAAAATCAAGAAAAATATTATTAAACCATTTAAATAAAGCATGTCAGCTAGATTATTTCAAATTAAAAAAGTGGGAAGAGGTACGTGATGACGTTGCCAAATATTTAGAAAGTGAATCTGGAGACTTACCACCGGAGTTAGAAAAGAATAAGGAAATTATGACACTTGTTAACTTAAGTGAATCATTTTGTTCAATTAGTTAAAAAATAAAAACTGACGTTCAAGAGATAAAATTGTAGTGATCAGTAATGAATATAGGAAAAAAATCTAAGTTATAATCAGTTTAAAGAATTTAGCTAAGAATTTAAATAAAATTGGTTTTGGATCATGTTTATCTTATTAATTGTTTAAAGAATTATTGTGGCGTACTCTGCCAAATATTTTTGTATAATTATTAAAAGAATTTGAATTCTTACTTCCGTTAATAAACTTCTCCTAACCATCAACAAAAATCATGTTTCTTTCAAGAATTTATTTTAAAAAAAAGATAATTTTAAAATAATCAAAAAAAAGTTATTTCTATATTAGTGCATTTTTTTTATTCGTAAATTTTAAATTTAATGTCATTTTTTTGAGTATACTCTCAATATTTCTCAGAAACGTAATAAAGAAAATATTTTTGCCTATATATTGAACATTCGCACATACAAATCATTTAAGATTGCTATGATCATGAACAAGAGTCAAACGTTCAATAATGTACAGTAATTAAATTTGTGGGATCAAGAATAGAAAAAAGTTACGTATCCATAAAATGTAGTTATGTCATAAAAATTATCCGTTTTTGTAAATTAAGAATGTGAAATTAAGTATTTATAAAAGTTTGTTTTTAAAGCAATCAGTTTGTTTCGCTTACGATTCTTATAATGTATTTGAAAGTATTGCATGTACTATATTGGAACTATAGATGGGTGATGGGTCAATTTAAGTGTCCTCTGCTTTACTTCAAATAAATCTTCAGACCATCGAAAAATTTTATACAAACTAACTTCATCGTAAACAATTGATAACAATAATTATCACAACATGACGAAGTATTGGGTTGAAATTATTTTTATAAGTTGATCCAACTGTTGTAATAACCGAAAATACAATAAAATAGAATAAGGATAAATAATTAGCCGATGGGTAAATAATTAACCGATGGGTAAATAATTAGCCTATAAAATTATATTTATAGTTTACGAGATAGTCATATGATAATAGATCTTTTATTTTCTTCAATTTTTATTAGAAAAAGATAGTAAATATTAGAAATATTTTTCTTAAAATGTATAAATACAAGTGGATTTCGTTAGAAATTCCGTAGTTCGATTTTTGGTAAATAAAATTTTAGTTTGCCCTTAATAAAAACTAACACACTCTTTAGCCTTTTCTTATGAGCAAAAGTGCATAATTAATATGAAAATTATTAAATTTGGGGAAATTATCGCAATTTAAAAAAAAAAAAAAAAAAAAAAAAAATTAGCAAAGATGAAATTTGAACTCAACACGTCGGTGGCAACATACGATAATTATTTATTATCCTATGGGCGGCGTGTCACACTGTACGCCACAAATTATAATAATTTATAAAAGATTTGTTGAATCAGTTAGGGGTTCGATCCAATTTTTTAAAGGCAATCCAGATTAAATTCGGATTTCATTTACTGTATCCGTTAAATCCGGTCAATAATCCAGATTTGAAAATTATACGGATAATCCATAAGTTCCGGATCAATCTGATCAACTCAGATTTAGGAAATCAAAATTCTTTTATTTTAAAACCGTGAGAAATAATTTTACTTTATTGAAGAAAGTTTATTCACTTTATTGAAGAGACTTTATTGAAAATACTTCATTTACAATATTTTATTAAAAAACCTTTATTGAAGAAACCTAATCTATCTCAACATGACTTGTTTCATCTTCATCCCATTCTGATGCAAAAACATGCATTGTTTTAATATTTCGTTTTAAAAATAGTATTTTAGCCACTAAATTTGTGTCTAAATTTGTCCTTTTAGCATTGATAAGATTTCCGGCATCTGAGAACAACCGCTCACTTGACACTGATGTCGCAGGAACTGCAAGATATTTTCGGGCAATTTTGGCAAGTTTTGGAAACATTTGCAACCGTAATTTCCACCAAATTAAAGGATTTTTGGTTTACAATGCTAATGGTAATGTCAAATAATTTGTAATTTCATCAACAATTGGTGTGCTTGAATATGATTTATCCCCCTTTTTATTTTTCATTTGCCGCCGTTGATGATATTCTTTATGTGAACGTAAAGGTTCTGCATCATAAGAAGCTGGGTTGTTTAATGGTTCGGATCCTGGTATTTCCACTTCACCAAATTCACTGCGGAATTTTTGGATAATTCGTTATTTTTCATCCTCATCTAGGAAATCCAAGCTTTTATAACGAGGATCTAATAAAGCTGCCATTAAACCAAGATCATTTGGAATATTCCAGTAAAATATCAATGCACTATAAATATTTTGTTTTACTTTTTCCAAAACGCCTACTGTATTTAATGGATTTTTAATTGAAATCTTCTTCTTTGTAATATTACTTATAATTTCATCATCATCAAAGTCAGTTTGTTGTGTTTCTACAGCTTCTGATTCAAATACAGTATCCTCATTTGAAAAATCATCACTATTTAACGGTACTTCAGTAGCTAAATCAAAAATCATTTCTTTAATTGTTGGAATAACTCGACTTAAGGTAATATATGAATTTCCAGAAAATTCACGTGTTGCCTCCTCAAATAGCATTAGCATATCAACAAGTTGATCTAACAACTCCCATTCATCATCATTAAGTAACAATCTCTTCAATCTATTACCATCTTTCTTGATTTCCCGATCTGTTGATGTGGATAAATCAGTCTGTAGTTGAATAATAGCATCCTTTAAAAAAAATAAACGATCCCAAGCATAATAAGACGAGTTCCATCTTGTAGATACATCTTGAATACAACGCAAAATATCTTTATAGCCAAGTTTTCTCTGCACCTGCTCTAACCTTTCCACCTGTTTTTGATATTGAAAAAAATTAATTAGTCTTTTTGCTCGTGCTACTAAAATCTCTTCTGAAGCCAATCCCTTTCCGATTGCCAATTGTAGAGTGTGTACTGTATAAGGAAGGCGCTGGATATTTTCACACCCATTTTTCTGATTTAAGAAAGGAAAAATTGCCACCATATTGGATCCGTTGTCAGTGGTAATTGAAGTTACATGATTTTTAAGATTCCAAGTTTCAATACACTGGTGAAGTTCATTGGCAATAATTTCACTGGTATGTGGAGAAGAAACATATTTGTTTTCTAACATTGTATCTTTGATTTCAAAATTTGATGTAATCCAGGTTGCAGTAACTCCTAAATACCCATGCTTGGCTTTACTAGACCAAAGATCAATTGTAAGAGAGACATTTTCAGCAGTATTGGTAAGAAGATTTTGCAAATTTTCCCGATTAAATTTGTAACTCTTAACGATCATTGTCCTGATTTTTTTTTCTCCTGGAATAATGAAGGAAGGATCGAATTCTGCCATTTTTTCTTTGTAGGCTTCATTAGTAACTGCAGAAAGAGGTTGATTTGTGAGCAACATCCATTTAAGGGTCGCTTCTTTATTTCTTTTTTGAATATGTTTAGGATGAGGTTTATGACTTCGTGCAAAATCAGTAATTTTAGAGTTTCTCGGCTAAAAATTAACATTATGAAGTATTTAAAAAAAAATTTAATAAATACTCAACAGTCAATATTAAATTTACCTTTTTTGAAATATCTGCATCATCATCTGGTACAATATTATGTTTATCTCTAAGATGCATGATCAAATTGCCCGTTGAACTTCCACTTCTTCCACATTTATATTCTTGACCACATTTTATTCCATTTTTATCTAAAATATTGCAAACTCGGATCTCTTCACCTTTATCATTAGCCTTTTTTTCAAAATACTCCTGAGTAAATGATGGTTTTTTACGCTTATATTTAATATTAGTCTCAGGAAGTTCGCCTAGATAAAAAAAAAATTAATTATATTAATAATATAAATAATAATTTATTGCAATTTAATAAATTTATAATCTTTAAAAATTTATACTCTATTTTTTTCTTTGATTTCTGAGGATATTGTAGAAAAGGGAAGGGTTCTTTGAATGGCGTGTTGTTTTCTAGTAATTACTGACTCATGTGAAGTTTTTGAACTTTCAGGTGCTTTGATTTGCTGTTCTAACACAACATCCGTCATCTCAAAGTTAAAATCTTCATTGGGATAAAAATCTGATCTATCTGCCATAATAGAGGTTTTACATTTCAGAAAAAAAAATAGTTGGGCAAGTTCCGTAAGAGATAAAGGAGTGAAAATAAAAATGGTATGGGAGTAAATGGAATATAATAAAAATAGGGATAAGATAACGTGAAAATGATCCAAAATGAGAAAAATTAATTGCAAAAAAAAGATAAATCATTAAATTAAATATTAGGATTAAAAGACCAACATAATTTTTATTTAAAAATTAAAATTTAAATTTCGAAAAAAAATTTTTTTCGATCCCAATAATTTATATTATTACAATCCGGATTATAATCCGGATGATCAACAATCCGTAATCCGATAATTTTACGGATCCATCTGCCAGAAATCATCGGATGAGGATATCCGATTTTAATTCAGATGATCGGATCAATCTGAATTTACTGGATTACGGATCGAACCCCTAAATTCAGTAAAGCTTTACAATCCTTGAAAATTATTCTTTGAGCAGAATATATGACCAACTTTAACTTATAATAATAAAAGGTAATCAATTAATTTTTATTTTACTTAATAAAAAAATTTTATAGGTAAAATTTATACGGCAAAATTATCCGTTCCTAGGAGATTTTGCAGTAAAAATTAACTATTGATTTTACTATAATAGACAGATTTGAAAATTTGAGTAATTCAGAAAGATTTGCATTTTCTAAATGAGAAAATCTTTCTTTTAATTTATTCGTGATCTCAGTATTATTTTTCAAGTGTAATAGTAATAGTTACGAAGCTTTTTAAAATTTAATCATTTTTTTAAAATCTTTCTTTTAAAATGAAAAAAAAACCAAGCGAAAGAAAATAAGATTCAACAATAAAATATACTATATTTATATTCACGATATACTATAAAAAACTTACTATTGTGTAAATGGCAGGGGATAAACCAATTATATCCTGGCTAATTGGAATAATAAAATTTTACTTATTCCTAATTGGCCAGGATATAAGTAATCCTTATATGACCTAGCAACTTTTCATAATGTTTTTGGTATGTTTTGATACTGAAAGTTACTGAAATGTATGGATTTAATATTAAAAATATGGAAGACTAAACAATTCCGTACCTCAAAAAGTAACAAAAAAAAATGTTTTTTTATATCTTCCGAAATATATCAAAAACATACTTGTTCAAAATAAATTGCTTGATAATATCAGAATCTCTGCCTTTTTATAAAAAAAAAAAGTGAAAGTTTGTGAAGTATCTTTGTCCTTAAAACGGTATTCATTTTTTCTTCAAAAATTTCATTCACGCGAATAAGAACAAAAATGAACGCCATTGTATAACGTAACAAATAATATAAATATGTAAATACGCAAGAAAGAATAATGGGTGGCGTAATTTACTATTTAATAAAAGATGTACCATAAAAGTCAATTGAAGGCGCTTAATGGCTTATAATGTGAAGAAATTCTAATTGTCACAATATCAAATTAATTATAATAAGCCAAAAAGAAAAATGTGAAATTAATGCAGAAAATGCTCAGATCACTAAAAATGAATCCGCCTCCCCTGAATTTAAAAAAAAATTGATAATCGATTGTTTTTTCAATTTTTTCAATAAAAAATGGAGGCTTTCTCTTACTTATTTTATTTTATTATTATTTTATTTTAAGGTAAGCCAGGAGAGTACATTGATAATTAAGGCTTTCTCTTACAAAAAAAAAGCAGGAGTATTTTACTACGGTTCCGTTAAATTTTGATTGAACAATCGGGGTATCGGAAATTGATTGAAATTTGTACCTTGCTGCAGTAGCAACTTTTTTACGTTTATGATCAATTTAAATAAAAACTAGAATATTGGAATTGATACGAAATTCCAAATGAAAAAATGCCCCATTGTATGATAAAATGATCAAAGAGTCATTACTATATGTAGTATCTAAGAGAAATTAAATTTAATCCAGGTATTGTTTAAAGATCCAACCGAATTACGCAAGAATGTGAAGAGGATTTTAGGAATTATAGTGGGATAGGGTAACAGCTAGTGAGAAACCACAAATAAGAAGCGCCGTGTAGATGAGATAATCAAGAAAAAATAATTATAGAAGCATCATGTATCACTGGCTAGCCCCGATGTTGAAATTGGGTTGTATGTATAACTTAATTAAGAAATTAATATGAAAATTTCTCTGACACACGACAATAGATGATCTTCGTAGAAAAGTACGTTGACTATTTGATGCTTATAGTCTATAAAAGGCTTTATAATTATGCGAATTTGAAAATTTAATTTTATAAATAGAAACAAATTCATTTTTTTTCGATGTAACTTCCATATAAATCATATGATATGCGTGAATTTTAATTTTCATTATAATGAACTTTCATTAAAAGAAATTTTTAAACTTTCCATTGACTTGCGATCTTATTTATTTAAACTGTATAATATATTTATAAACCTACCAACAACTAATATTATAAAATTTTAAATTTCTTTCTAATTTAATATTAATAACACGAAAGGTCTATTTAAAGTTCAATTTTGTTGGAAATAACTTGTTTTTTTGACATAATCCTTTATTCTTGTTTTGATAAATTAGTGATAATCATCACAGAATATTATATATTTATTAAAAAAAAAAATAGTCGTCTTATAACGATCTATTTAGCTAGCCGAACATACTATAATAAATTTATTATAGTCAAATGACATGTGATTACTTGAATCCGACAATATTTACCGACCATGGGAAAATCTTGCCAATCAATCTAAAGTGATTATCAAAATTTATTGTCGGTGAACCATTTGTCGGTAAAAATAATTGACACTTTAATTTGTAAATTATCATTGTATCTTGGCAATTGTCATATGCAGATGTATAACTATAACAAATTTGAGTTACAATATGAAATATAAAAAAAAAAATTTTTTTTTTATATAAATCTACCAAATTTTTTTAAAACAACACTTTATTAATTATTTACCCTCTTTTTCTTCCGTCGAATCCTTTCCAACCCGTTACTTTCCTAAAATCTTTTTCTTACGTAATGTCTAACGACCTCGCTAAATTAATAAATGGTCCAGCAGATGAAAAAATTGTGTCGAAAGTAGGCGATCAAAATAATAGGTCTCCAACAAAATCCCGAAATCCTAAAACTCATAAATGCCAAGTTTGCACTCGTGAATTCAACAGACTGGAGCATTTAAACCGACATATCCAAACTCACACTGGAGAATAACCCCATAAATGTACTTGGAACGGATGTTCCAAAAGATTCTCCAGATCTGACGAATTGACGAGACATAAAAGAACTCATGATAGTTTAAAAAGAGAGATCACAGAAATAAAAAGATGATTGCAGTTCCTTTTAAAAATTTGTCAACTCTTTATATCCGTGATCAAGTTCAAAATGAAGGAAATAATTCATCATCCCCATCGTCTCGTACGATTACAACATATATTTTTACCGAATCTACAACTTCACATCCTAATTCTTCATGGCAAAAACCTTTTAATTGTTCAATTAATGGATGTACGAAGAGCTTCACTCGACATGGACATTTATCAAGACATGTACAGTCTTGTCAATCAAAACGTAATCGTAAAGAAAATGAGAAACCTGTTCACCCTCCAAGTCCTGTTACATCTTGTATTAACTAATATTTCAAAATATGAAATACTATTTATTGTATAACACAATGCATAATATAGAAAGTTACTATTTTATTTAATTATTTAATGTATCAGGTGCTACTTTCTAAATGAACCGCAATTTAATTTGTATAAAAGAAAATTGTATTATTTCGTACGCGGCCATTTCTTATCTCTTTTCTCCGTGTTCGGATGATATCTCTCATTTGTTTATTATTTTTATTCCTTATATATGTTGAAAAACTCACGGGTGTCATCCTGCTGGTATTGAATGTAATCCTAATAGCAATAACACAATTAGTTCGCGTATGTTAATTTCAAATTATTCCTATTATTATTGTTCACATTTTTTGGGTATAATAAAAAAATAAAAAAATAGATTCTTGCGCTTCTAGTGTTTATACGATTGTTGGTCCTTCGAATGATTTGCCTGTAGAAGTCCACAGAAACAGCGGTTGTAGATATTTAAAGAATCCTAAGTTTGTTCAGAAGGAGTAAAGGTCGAATAATATCTGTGCGAAGTAATTTTAAATAAATAATAAGTTTATTAACCGAATTTTTATATAGTAAAATACTGTATATCAGATTATCAGTATATAATAATAAGAAAAATCTGTATCAATAATGATGTAATTGATGCGTGATCAGGCAGTGATCAGGCTGTGGTGCGGCGCATGACTCCCATGACTCATGACTCCCATCATCCCATGACTCATTAAATTTATTTTTGATTAACGCGTTTCGCGTTTTATACTTGCTTATACTTTTTCTTTTTTTTATAAAAAGATCAGTAGCGTATTTCTCTATTAAAAAATTTTGAAATACTTAATAATAAAAAAAAATACAAACAGTATGTCGCGTCCTACTTCAGACAACTTACCCAACTAACGTTCCAAGCCTGTCCTTTTATGCTACGCAACTCTCCCCAGGCGTGGCACCAACAACCAAAGAGGGGAGGAATGACGAAACAGTGAAATTAAGAACAAGTGGAGGAAGTAAAGGGTGGCGAAATAAAGATCTCACCATCTTTTAGCTCTGAAAATCTTTTTATGGTTGGACTTTAAGAATCAATAATGATCAGTTTTAATTAAGGTACTATTTCTTTAAATTTCATGTTGTTTGAGAAGGAAAATCTAGACCACCATAGCGTGACAAGATGTGGGGACTATTATTCTATTCATTTACAGCGGGAATAATTATGCACCTTCCTCACGGGTCATGTGAGGTCCATTGTTCTGAAGGAGGAACAAATTATCGGCCTCTAGCACTGTGATATCTTGTCATGGATTTATTTCCCTTGGTTTCAGAGCTCTAGAAGCTCATCGTGGCCACAGTTACGCGGTCTTAGACTGCTTACTGTGAACGTCTATCTCTGTTTTCAACATATAAATTGTGTGTCAAGGTTTTGCTGCCCAACCATTCATGTTGTTTAGTTTAATAGTACTCACTTGTTTCTTTTTTTTTAGATTCATTAACATTGTTGGTTTGCAGATTAACCACCATTGATAATAATCGGAGAATTATCTATCTTTCTATCACAAGAATAGTGTTAAATGAGTAGCACTCCGCTCAGTGTTTATTTTTCATCAAAAAATCACTATGCATGTGGCGCACAACGTGTAAAATTTTTCTGTGCAGCATTTGGATAAACTGTGCGCAGCTACTCCGCTGTGACAAATTTGCGCTCAATCATATGTATGCGGCACTGGTATTAAAAGAAAAGAAATTTTTTATTTATCAGATTTTGTGACGCACAATTTGTAAAATTTTTCTGTGCGCCATATGAAAAAAACTGTGCAGCTGCTCCGCGGTGACACATTTGCGCCAAATCATAAAAAAATTACTGTGCGGCATTAAAATTTTTTTATTAAAATTCATTTTATTTGAAATTTATTTGAATTATGAATTTGGTAATATTTATAGAAATCAAATTAAATTTCATTACAAAAATCAATACAAAATCTTTTTCCTGTAAAATATGTTATAAACCATTAATTATAATAATTAATGTGGCACTTTTTTATCATAAGAAAAGGCAAAAAGAATCGACCAATTAAAAATTGAGTGAAATATATTAATTCATTTCTTATCTAATTCTATTCAAATTGATGGGTTTTGTGTTTTCTGATGTTATACTAAATCTTAAATAAAGACCCATTAAAATACCAATTAAAATGATAATTTCCAAAATAAAATGTCGAACCAATAATTCTATATTATCCTAATTAGCTAGTTTAATGTCATCGCGGACCACTTTAATCCCCTAAATAAACCCTATTTGATGATATTGACGATAGTTTAAGGTCAACTCTGACCGCAGTAGATAGAAATACTCTAAAATTTTATACACTTAAACTAAATACAATTCTGTGCTCACAATTAATAAATTCACTAGGTAAGTTCAGACACTACAGTGTATAATTTAAATCTTATAAATGGGAGAGAAAGAAATAAAATAGTTCGGAAAGTATTGGTTTTAATTAGTTTTCTAAATTCGGATATATTGGCCGCTATTGCCGGCTGAGGCAGCAAATATATCTTTTATTTTCGTTTAATTTATTTTATTTAAAAAAATTTCTTATTATTCACTTATTCATTTCACTAATTCATTTATTTATACTTAGTTTTATCCAATTTTTATTCTATTTGATTACACTTTCATTGGTTTCTCATTATTACAATTACATGAATTAATCGTTAACCAAATTTTAAAAGAATTAATCTGTATTACATGTCACCTCTATGTGGTAGTATGTTTTATTTTTAACTTTGTCTTTTCTCGGTCATTTTTCTCGGTTTGCTTTTTGTTTTTTTATTCCTTAATTAACTATTTTCTTAGATTTTAAAGTTCTAGTTCAACATTCTAGTAAGCGGTAAGTTTTATGTTTCAGTCATTTTGGTGTTCTTTGGATCTGGAAATTTAGCTAATCTTTTTTTTTTCGAGCTTTTACTTTTTTTGAATTTATTTCGTTTGAAATTAAAAATTTTTTTTTATTATACTCGGCTTTGTGTTATTTTTTTTTTATATGTGCTTTGCAATTACTTGCGCTTGTGCTTTTCATTTCAATTTTTTTTATTATACTTTGCTTTGTGCTATTATTTTTTTATATTGGGCTTGCAATTTCTTGTCTTGCCTTTATTGTACTTGGGTTTTTAATTTACTTTGGATTTTTAAATTTCATTTTAATTATTTTAATTGTACTTAGGATATTTATTATACTAGGTCTGGAATTTTTTTGATTTCATTTTTTATACTTGGACTTTATGACCTCATCTTTGATTTTGCTTTTATTTGCATTCAGTTTTTGATTTCATTTGTTGTACTTGGGATTTTTATATTTTGGCTGAAATTCTTAATTTTTTTATGTTTCGGTTTTTATGACTTGATTTTTGTTTTCGTTTTATTGTTTTTATTGTATACTTAAGAATTTTTTTATTTAATTTTTACTTGAACTTTTATGATATTGTATTTTATATTTGTTATATCATGTATTTCATCACTATTATTAATAAATTAAATAAATACTATACTATAAAAAGTTGGATTTAATAAATAAAATGTATTAATATTAAGTATTTTACTTTCTATAAATCCTTTGGCTTTAATCTTTTTTATGATTTTTATAACAATGTAATTTAAAAATTTGGTTTCAATAAAATTGAAAAAATTAGCCAATCAAAAAATTCCGTAAAATCACATGACCATGTCTAATTAAATAAATTTTCCCTTATCTGTTATAGTAAAAATGTAAAAATGTAATAAAATTTTTTATTTTTTTTATTTTATTTTTTATTTTTATATTTTTATTTTATTTTTTATGGATATTCATTTAAAGAATATTGACGTTTTAATCCTTCTCCTTCGACAATCTCTAAAGGTTTCAAATACCTTCTCTTCATAAATTTATAAACTTCAACAAATATTTCAAATATGATTACAGCTCCAACTATTAACCCCCATTCATATCCAATACCTAATTGCTTGAATACTTTGGAATTTAATCTAATAATAAAGAAGGAAAACAGAGGAAAAAGGAAAATTAAAAAAAAAATCTCATAGAAAAATAAATAAATAAATAATAAGACTTTTTTTTACTTACTCAGGAATATAGAAAGTTGGAATGGCTGTTAGTAAACCACCAAATACGGACCAAAATAGTATCTTATTATCATATAATTTCATTGTCCAAATAGGATCTCTTAATGACCGACAATTATATGCATGAATTAATAAAATATAAGTAATTGTGGCGAATGTAGTTCCTCTAGCACGATAGATTTGATGACACGCAATTTCTAATGCAATTGGATCACATGTAGGATCATTTGGAGCACATTCTTGTCCAAATGGTGAAGAATTACAATTTTGCCCAAGATTTCCATTTCCTATAGCATAAACTACAATAACGAAATTTGCTAATGACAATCCGCCTAAAACAATTCCATAATAAATCATATCAATTATCACTTCCCATGTGAAAAGTCCCCCTTTTGAACGTGGTGGGTACCTCATAATGTCACTAGATGCACGTTCAACGCCTAATCCCATAGCTGGCGGTGAACTTGTAATCATATTTAAGAAAAGAATTTGTAAAGGTGACATAGGATTAACTGATATACCATCGCTATCAATGAAAGAGAGTCCAATAATTAATGTAACAATTTCACCGGAATTTCCTTTATTAAAAAAAAAAGCAGTATTAATAAAGAATTCTTCAATGAAAATGAACAAATTAAAATTAAATACTGCAACTTACCGCTCAATAAATGTAAAATAAATTTTTGGATATTGCTAAAAATTCGACGTCCCTCAGCAATTGCATTAACAATTGTTGCAAAATTATCATCAGAAAGTACAATATCACTAGCTTGTTTAGCTACGTCACTACCACCTAATCCCATAGCAATTCCGACATCGGCTTTCTTCAAACTGGGTGAATCTATAATTTTTTATTAAAAAGTTAAATAACAAATTTATTTTTTTCTAAAAATAAATATTCATTATTTACCATTTACTCCATCACCGGTCATAGCAACGTATTTATTTCGTCGATGTAAAGCATCAATCATTTTTACTTTTGTATCCGGGATACATCTAGCAATAACTTTTGGAAGTTCTGAAAGATTGTCTACTTCTGCATCAGAAAGTGCATCAAACTGTGCGGCAGTCATTACAAGTTGTGAATTAAATTTCCCTTCATTTTCTAATTCAGGAGACCATAAAAGAGGAAGAATACCAATCTCTTTTGCAATGGCAGAAGCAGTAGTAGGATGGTCACCTAATAATAAACAAAGTGTTAATTTATATATTTATTCATTCATTCATTCATTTATTTTAATAAAAAAGACAAAATACCAGTTAACATATGAACTTCAATTCCGGCACCAAAACATCTTTGAATGGCAGCTTTGGATTCGGGTCGCGGTGGATCATAAATACCAACCAAACCCAAGAAGATCATATC